ACTGCAAATTTAATGTATAAAAATTGAGGTCTTCCAAAATTCCACTTTTGGGAATCTGAGTAACTCCTATTTCGCTGAGCCAAAACACTGATATTGGCAAAAAGTACTCTACTGGGCTTATTTAGCATGCTGATACGAATAACATATTCTCCGAGCACGTTAGCATTTTTAATGGGCGGAAAATTGCCCTAAATTCCCTTCTTAGAGAGATCATTAATTTTGCTTACTATTACCCATCTCTTTCAACCCTAATCCGCTCCTATTTTGATTGATCTAAACCTATAAGATCTCTTTTCCAGCAACGTTGAGATCTTCCTCCTTTGTCGTCCTCTTGGTTAATAATGCGAAATGAGTTTGACCATTATGATCAGTATTATAGTTGAAACATTCAAAAGATTCGGATGAACAAATAACGAGTATTCGTTTGTAATGAGAACATTTGAAGAAATAAGTGATATTAGATTGGGCACTTCATCCATTCGAATAATGCAGGCACTAAACATTAGACTATTCGAATCAGGCCTAAGCACGAGGTTTCCGGTTGAACCTTACGAGAACGAATACCCGTTTGAAAACCCAGGACCTTACGAAGCCCCCTTTGTAACCTGTACAAGCAGGACGAGCACTGCAGTGCTGTTTGCTTGGAGCACGTTTTCTTCGTCAAGGTACGATTTAGGGCCCTAATAAGGAAGAGAGAAAGTTCCTTGAACCGGTTGTTGTTCTATAAGTTGCATCAAAGGGTGTACAAAAAGTGTTTGCTATAAGGGACGCAAAATTATGAGGAACAAAAAAGTGTTTGCTGATCGAAGACCTAAGGGCTCCCGTAGGTCTCCGCCGGAGACCTAAATCACAAAAAGGTACAGCAATTTTTTCATTGTCATAATTTTTCAAAGATTTTTACACTTCTTCTACTCCTTGCTTCGCATCTTTGAGCTGATTTTAGTGGATGTTCATTATCCACTCGCTAAGAAAAACTGTTTTATATGGATATTTTGAAATTCATTTGAATCTCCTGCGCAAACGCCCGCATTGAAACAAACATCGAATCCCATATTGGAGCATGTTTCTGAACGGTCACAAAGTGCGTATACAATTAAATAATAGGAGGAATGGTGGGGAGCTTCAACATTTTTCTTGTCAGGGAATCAATTGATAATAAACTCCAGATTCTAACTCGGACCCTGTACGATTTCCTCTTTGCTTTTTTCACAAAAACGAATTCCAGCTTTCCCTCCGGAGACCTGAAGCCGAGGTTTGATTCGAATCATTGAATAATTGTACTTAACCGACTGCGCGAACATTCGAGTAATCAAACAAGTGTGTTTTTTTGTTTCGACTGCGCTTTAGGGAACAGCAACTTCTAGGATCTAAAAATTATCGATGAAGCTCGTTTTTGTCAGCTTCACACTTTCCTTCCACAGACGCATATTATGCACAAACAAGACCTTTTATAGCATCATTTCCTTTCTAAACGGTATAATCATACATTCTCAAAATTTTTTGATTTCCTGTAGTTAAATGGAGCAGAAAAACTTCATCATACTAAACGACAGTCTTTAGATAATAACCTACCTGCACCACAATAGGGGCCAATGAAAACTTTAACTTTCTGCAGATGGTACATATCGGCGGCAACAGCTACACCTTCGTAGGATTCACCGCAGCCGTTTTGTGAGAAGATTCTGCATGATGTTGGTTGAAATGATAGTGACAATGGTGAAAAAACGTATCAAACCGACTCCACGTCAAAAGTGTCGTCAAGAATTTTTTCTTTGATGAGTGATTTGTGAGATATATCGAGAATAGCGACATCGTTCTTCAAAGCTCCCAATGCTCCAATATGACCAATCTTTATGCGCATCTTACCTAAAAAGTAAAACATGAACTTTCCATTTAGTTAAAATTCGCCAAAGTGAATGGCAGATTTTGAGATTTTCCATTTTTGAACTGTGCCGACATACTGTCT